TTCTGTAGCTTGATCCAAGCAGCTCTAACTAGTGTACATGAGGTCTCCACATGGTTGCAAATAAATATGAATAGGAAGCAGGCTCTCAAACTGCATTCTCCTGTCTTTTGGTTCCCCTAGAACAAATTCAGATACAAATCCTTCAGTGCGATCCAACTGTGTATCAGCGGCCCATAATCGCTCCTGCAGAATGTTAGAGAAGATAAGTAAACCTAAAACCAACCAGCAGCAATTACATTTCTGATCAAGCAATTCGTCAATGTTCCATGTAAACTGATTAGCACAGATGGTGTATCACTATCAAAAAATCAAGATGAGATTGTGTCCTACAGAATAGGGATATGCTTTAGAAAGATGTGAATCAGAGTGTTAAGTCATTGGGAAAACTATCTTTCAAATTGCTGAAACGAAAAAAAGATTGCATATTCAAGGGAAAGTTGGGGAGAAATCATGATCATAAAACACTAAATATTTATCAATTACTCCAATGCAGATGGAAACAGTGTCATTCCACCAATTAGTGAGTCCTGTGAGGTATGCGCTATAACCGGGTATATCCTCCTGAATTTCAGATGCTCCATATTCCATAAGGAGAAGATGCATAACAGACAAGATGATGGCATGAATATATCTACTTTCAAGCAGGAGTTGGACAGCAGCTGGTATTGTCGCAAACCAAGATGGAAAGATTGGGAAAAGTGGGTTGATCAAAGCAAGGATGGTTGACATATACAAGAAGTGTATTTTGTACAGTCTAAACAATAGCCATGTAAGACATCCCTGAAAAAATGCAATTTCGGCTGTGGCCAAAAGAACACCGGAAAAAGCATTATCAATAACTTCAACACATCTGACCCTCGCAGACTTTGAAATCGGAAGCATACACATTACTTGTCTGTTACTACCAGATTCGACGTAATAAGATAATACAAAACCCACAAGAATAATATCAACTGAGACACGAAATTGAAAACCCGCAGCTCCAGATATTATGGAATGTCCGATGGAGAACATAAGCTTCGCACTACCACCTAAAACTGATGCACTACTAGCAAATAAACGCTGTGACACATTCACTCTTGGGCAGCGAACCCTTGCCTTCTCAACTAGATCACCCCTAGTGATTGTCAATTCTTGAATAATAGCATTGAGTTCTGTATAAATTTGTCCCCATCTCGATTATACCCTCTTCCTTAAACCACAAGTTTCTAGCATATGGAGAGGGGCTCATCAAAGTGTTGATTTCCCTGAGGAATTACCAGATGGTGCTATCACGAAATGCTAATCCCCGTAACAAATTCAGTCAAGTTGTACTGCATCGCCAAGCTATCTATCTCAGACACGGTCTCATAAACTGTGGTAGTGTATTATCCACCATTCCAGGCACATCGTTCTTCCATCCACTGTAACACACATTCTCTCGGCATAATTACTCTCCTCAACATGTGATTTGATTGAAATCACAGCATCTTTTCTCAAAACCAATCTTATAGAGAAAATATCATTCCACTCAAAAACACACAATCATACCAACAATCAACCCAATTGCTACAATGGTTTCCAACCTTTCATATGCCTCGTGTGAAAAATGCGCTAACTGGACTACGCCTAAAACTATTAGACCTAAATGAAGAAACAGCCGACATGGTTGAATCGACATTCTTGTACTAAACAAAATCCCAAACCAAGTATCACCAATGATCCAAAACAACCTTCATAAGCAATTACAAACACACCAAAAGACACCAGCCACCTAAGTAACTTCGAAAATCCAGTCCGAAACGCATAGAACGATTACTTTTGATCTTTTAGAAAAACCTTTAAGAAAACATCTAATATACCAAAAGAGTACCAATGAAAACCTTAAACATAGCACAGGAATAGCAAGCACAGTCTCAGTAAGGCCAAGTTTCAAGGGCTCACTCCAAAATGCAAAAGGCTTGTTGAATACCTCTCAGTGGAATTGAGCACAATTGGCCCACTGAATTGGCCTAAGATACTCTTGCAATAGCTTGCATATAAAGTATAGAATAAAAATAGTGAAGCAAGACCAGCATGAGCCATGGCATGTAAGAGCAAGTCTACCTGAGGATCACCAGACAATGTGTTTTTAGAACTGGGTCAGTGGACTTTCCCTTCTCCGGCTGTGGCGCTGGCGGCGCGTGGTCTTCAGGTGGCGGCGCGTGAGGCGGAGGGTTTGGCGAGGCTTACGAAATGAGGCTGATAAACAGTCCTCCCATGGAATAGTTGTAGAAATGGGTTTCCCATCTGGGTCCCCTGAATGGCACTAACTCCATATCAAAAAACACAAAGCTTGGAGCTTTACAACAAAGATTGGGTTTTTAGATAAAAAAAGAGTTCGTTTCCCCTGTTTTGATTTTTTTGAGAATGTTTTCTTGACCAATCCCCAGCGACACAACTGCAAACAGATAGAGAAATTTTTGGTTCCTTTTTAATGAAACCCATCAGAACAGAACAGAACACAGCGAAGAGGAGGGAAGTGACAGAATGATGATGAGTTTGATGCTGACACCAAGAAGTGGGTATTAATGTGTGTTGTGTCAGCAAACCTCGACTATATTTAGGTTTGATGATCTGAATGGATGAATGAAATGAATAATTTAGAGGCTTCTGTTTGGGGGATGAAGTAAAGTAACTACAGAACCACCTTTCATCACCTTATTTTTCTTAATCATAATTTATTATCTTAACTCTTAATTGACTTTCTCAATGACTTGGAATTATCACTGTTCCCAAAAGAAAAAAACATATGATTCTTGATCATTAAGAGTAATTATATGATGGTAGAAAAAGAAAAAGAAATATCTTTTTTTATTTTTTATTTATGGCCAAAAAATTATAATCATATTCATTCAGTATTACTCTCTTTTATGTCTAAAATATGTATTTAAATCATAATAACAATTTTTTATTCCTAACTAAATAACTTCCTTTTATGTCTAAAAAATGTATTAAATCATAATAACAACGTATCGAATGGTTTGGGGTATGGTATGGTATTAGTATCCTACAATACCGATAGTATCATACGATACGTTCGATACAGATCACCAACGATACGTATTAGAGAGTGTATCCTAAACCCTTCGATACGTTTGATATATCTACGATATGATCGTATATCGTATCCTTAAAAATACGATAAATCGATACGATTTTATTAATTTGGGCCAAGTTCAAAAAAAATTTCGGGTGAAACGAGTACCCAACCCGATTCATTAAATCTGTCTAAATTTACCATTTACATGGAGAAAGTGAAGAGGAATAGTATTGCCCATTTTACATGATAATAATAATATAAGTGGAGATATAGATATTGACATTGATCTTGGAATTTTGTGATTAATTTTAATTATGTAATATCATAATTAAAGTCAATAATACCCTAAATTCTTTTATTAATATTGGTGATTATATTAATTTTTAAAAAGTTTTGATTATTAATTTTTTTAGAAAAGACAATCTTGATACGATACGATACGTACGCGATATCGATTCAAAAAATTAGGTTTTTGATACACGATTTGAAAACGTGGGGATTGAGAAATTCTCTTATGATATAAAACTTATTATAACAATTTAACCCATATCTAAATGCTTAAAAAAATAAAAAGAATATTAGTGAAATGTGTCGTTTTCCTTGTTTTTTATTTTTTATTTTCTGCAACATGCTGTCAGTTGTCTTCTTGAGAGCAACTGACAAACTTCCAAGTTCTGATAGCATTTGCGGGGTCAACTGGAAGTCTACAACGATTTCAGCCATTGGATATCTAATCTATACAAGGTGGCAAACATCCAAGGGCCCAGCAGAGGAAAAACGCAGACGTGGGCACCATATTTGGTCATCCAAACTCTGTAAGTTTGAGCTGTTAAGTTGCTGTCAGATGTTAATTTATTTGTATGGCATATTTATCAGAAAGTAAAGTATGTATGTCGTTCAGTGAAATATAACTGGACGACTTGTCGTTGAGCAATATGTATTCGCGACTGCTTTTTCTCTCATCCTTAGTTTGTAATAATTATTCTACCTTCCTACAGTTACCTATGTTTGTTGAAACACAGCCAAACACACACAATAGACAATCAATTCATCTTATCGTTCCATAAAGAATCACGTCTAATATTCAAATAAGAGTATTTATTATATTTCAGAATCTATTATAATTATAATCTCAAAGTATCCAATTCACTCTTACAATAATTTTAAATTCAAATAGTGGATCCTTAATAGTGGTGTAAATCGATAATCCGTCGAGATCATACAAAGTATGAACATATCCAACAATGTTATAGGAAAGCAATTGTTACAGAGACAAAAGCATTTCTGAGAAGTAAATCCGAATGTTGCTGGAAAGAGTTCATCTGAGAACTTCATTGAAAAAAAAAAAAAAAAAAAAGCTCTTTCAGTAGTCATCCCTTTCTTTTGGTTCCGACACTCCTATAATTGGAATTGCAACACTAGCTCATCAAGGATAAGTCTTCATCAACCATCAATTTCTGTATAATGCTGGAATGTAAAACATAATTTAGTTTATCAAAGAAACGAGTTCGATTGATAGTCAGACTCTTCTGTAGACATCCCATTTTTAAAATCTGGACTTTAGGTCTTACTAAAAAGAGTTAACTTGTACACGAGATTTCAAAGAATAATTCTGACTAGAAGTAGAGAAGAAATTCATTCGTACCTTTGGATATTTGTCACTTGATTTATCCACTCTTAGCATACTATAAAAATAAGACAGTACGAGATAGGGAAGCTAAAGCCAATCTCTGCTGATGAAGACGGCTGTATCAAACTGAAATCTGCACATTGTAATTGCAGAATATCATTAGACCAAAGTGACAGATTGATGTAATTGTTTGATCTTAATGCGTGCTTAAAAATTCAGAAAAAAATAGAGACTGATTGTTTAGATGAGCCCCCAAAATTGCCAAAGGTGCACAGAATATGAAACAGAGTAAAGTATTTGCACTAACAAATAGTAAAATTAGAGCCCAAAATATTCAATGCGCTCAGTGAATTCTGAATACCAAACACAGAAAAATCAGGTTGAAGGACATTGGATAAGCAACTGCAGTCTCAGCACAGCAGATAACTTTTCCTGAAATCGAAACTACTATGAGCTTAACAGCCTCATCTGGAAAGCAGATCAATCACTAAGATAACTGCATCAAACTCAAAGCGTGAAAATATTTATAATGTATAGAAGTACTAATTAACATTTATGATAGAGAATGGGGGTATAAGATTTGGTAAGTGTAGCAGTACTCTTCAGAAGCTTACCTTGCACTTGGTGTATTGATGATAGATCAATTCAGATTTCAGTTGCTTCCTTCACAGGATTAGGACACTCCGTTAGTATAGAATCTGAATAAGCTAGTCATACTTTCAATTGAAGGTAGATAACTAGTTACTATTGACTTAACTACGGACTGAAAATATGAAATCGAAAAGTAGAACGGATTGACCTGTACTATTTTTCTGAGTTCATTCTTCCTCCTCTGGATTGTAGATAAATCTTCCATTTATTTCAACACACGGAATGTCAGCTATCTTAGACCACTCTCGTCCTTTATCTCTTCTACATTGTTTTTCCAGGAGAGGACAGGAATATATGTATAACTGCAAAAGTGAAGATGGCAGGCCTTCCTCTGGGAAAGATATGAGCCTTGGGCAATCCTTGATCTCCAAAGTTTCAAGAGACAGTAATTCCTGAAAACCCTTGGAAGATAAAGATTTCAACTGCGGAAATTTAGAAATGATCAGGTCAGTTAGAGAGCTTGGGAGCATCATTCCCATCTCCTCCTGTGGAAAACAAACTACATCTGAACATCCACAAATCTCCAGGTAAGAAAGGGAGATGAACTTGTGAAACCCCCACTCCCTCAGGGACTTATAAATTTCAAGATTATTCAAAACTGAAAGTCCTATTAGGCTGGTAGGACAACCTTCTACTGGAAATGATCTGACACTTGGACAATCTTCGATTATCAAATATTGGAGACGGCCGAGACTTTGACTGTGGTTGGGCGGGCCCTCAAGTTTCTCACATCTACTGAAGGACACCTCAGTTAAATTGTTGTTGGGAAGCCCTCCTTCCGGGAAGGAAACAAGATTTGGACAGTCTGACAAATCAATCTCGTAAAGACAGTTAAGATTGTGCAGACCCTCAGGCAAGGAGTTAAGATTCTCACATCTCTTGATACGAATTGATCTAAGAGACATGTTATTTCCGAACTTCTCTGCTATCGACTCTAGCTTTGAGCAATCCCAGATTTTGAGATTTGTGAGTGACAAAGGTAACTCTCCAGTTAATGAAAAAGTTGTGAGGTTTGAGCAGTTCCGAATTTCGAGATGTTTGAGCTTGTCAGGTAATTGGCCTCTTGATGACAAACAGGTCAAAGATGGACAATTCTCGACACACAAGGACTCAAGAGAAAAAGTATCCTCTATATCATCAAACAAAACCTCCAGTTTCTCACAATTTATTATTTCAAGCGATTTTAGAGATGGAGGAAGACGCCCTTTTTCAATGAATGTTATAGAGTGACGACCTTCGATTCGCAACCGTTCAGGACATATATTGCCATGCTTTATTTCCTGTGTTAAGGTTGACAGAAAATCGCCAGTTACAATCTCAAGCATCCTTAGAGAGGGAAAATTGCCGACCTCTGGAAACGAAACAAGAGTTGGGAAATCTTGAATACGTAGTGACTTGAAGGAGTTGCAGGTTTGCAACCCTAGTGGTGGCGTCTCAAGAGAAATCTCATTATGCCACAAAGAGGCGAGTTTCTCACAATTAACGATACTTAATCGTTGTAATTTCTGATACCCTTGCTGTAACCAATTGTCAAACTCTGAAAAATTTTCAGGAGTCGAAGCATTCTGTGAATTGGAGTCAGCTGGATTATTACTGCCTGTAGGAAGGCTTGGGCATGAAACTACCAACTGCGAACATTCGTGAATTTCAAGCTCCACCAACGAAGGAAGCTTGTCTGGTAATCTTCCAATGAGTTTGGGGCATTTGACAATTGAAAGCTTGAGGAGCTGAGGAAAAATTTCAACATTCTCACTTTCTTGGATTAGGTTCCAGTGCATCCATTCTTGCAAATCCTCGAAAGAAAGAGTCTCTAATGATTTAAAAGCCTCTGAGCATTTCTCTCCAAAAATCTCGGAACCTATGTTTTTTATTTCTGTCATCCTTCTGATGGTGAGATCTTTGAGTGAGCTTAGTTGTCCTAGAGGAGGTAATGATGAACACCCTGCACAACTTTCCAATCTTAGAACCACCAAGTTGGAGAAAGATGAATCTCCTATCCAAGATGGAAATCTCTTGCCACCATAGCCATTGATTATGAGTCCTTTTATATTTCCATGAGGTCGAAGCATATCAAGTACATTTTCCTCTGCTGCCTTATTGCTTGAGTTATCAGATTGAGAGCGCCATTTCAAAGACAACATTTCTAGGTCTTTTTTATCTCTTAAAATGGTCTCTCCGATATCTTGTTCATTAACATTCTCTAATCTTGAAATGCAAAGTTCTCCTTGGAGAAACTTGAGATCTTTCAAATCTTTCAATCTGGATCCAGTGTCTTTGCCCACAATAAAATTAGACAAAGTACGAAGACATCTCAATTCTTTCATTCCCAATGGCATATTTTTCAGTAAATTTACACCTCTAATATCAAGATGGCGTAGACTGATCAAATTTCTCATATTGAGAGGCAACCTCAAAAGACGAAAACAATTTCGTAATATTAAACTTTGCAAGTTGAGCAATGAACATGTTGATTCTGGCAAATTTCTAATCTGAGTATGAGAAAGATTGAGGTACCTTAGATGCTTCAAAACTTTGATTGAATCAGGTATCTCCGTGATATAATACCTTCTTAAAGATAGCACCCTTAATTTTTTGAACTTTAACAACAAATCAGAAAGCACCATATGTGATATATAATAATAATTGTCTTCATCATCCTCATCGTCGTCTTCATCATTGTCATCATCACCGTCATCAGCATCAGCATCAGCATCAGCATCGCCATCTTCATCTTCATCATCGTCATCATCATTGTCATCATCATCATGGTTTTCATTCTCATCGTCACCAATTAATAAGACAATAGGCAGGAATGTTCTTAAGTTCTCAAGTTTATGGAAGATCTCAAATTTATTTTTGCCATCAAGAGTATGAGAAATATAAGAAGAATGGCGCACCCTTTCAGCACTTTTCAATTGTTTATTCTGGGCCATTACATCGTCCAGCCTAAAACTTGATTCTTCCGAAACCCATTGAGCCAGATCGTTGACAAGGTCATGCATTAAAAACTTAGAATTATTACTACTTGATCGTTGAAAAATTGACCTTGATACTAGATCACGAAAATACTCACTGCCCAAGTCTTCTAATTGCCTGTTACTTCTGGATTCTCTAATAAGACCTTCTGCCATCCATAGAAGGACAAGTTCTTTTTCTTCAAATTCATAACCTTTTGGCAAAATTGCGCAATAAGCAAAACATCTCTTCTCATGTGAAGGAAGATGATGATAGCTTAACATTAACACCGGTAGGATCTCATTTTCATTTGGTAAATCCCAAATTTTGCTGTTCAGTATGTTGTCCCATTCATCATCTCTTGTCTTGGAGTGTAGAAGTCCGCCAAGAGTCCTTGCTGCCAATGGCAAGCCTCTGCACTTTTCGATCACTTTTTGACGGATCATTTCCACATTTCTGCGCGCACCAAGATCTCTGTCGTCAAATGCATGCTTCACGAACACGGACCAACAATCATAATCCGATAGAAGCTTTAAGTTGTATACACCAGGCGCTATAGTCTTTGCAACATTTTCATTGCGTGTTGTCACAATTATTATACTTCCTGAAGCTCCAGCCATGAAGGGAGATTTTAATGTTTCCCACAAGCCATAATTAGTGCTCCAAACATCATCTAAAACCAGTAAGAATTTTTTACCAGATACTGCCTCTTTTAGTTGAAGCTGTACAGGATTTAAATCCTTTAAATCACAGGAAGAGAAAGTGAAAGACTCCATAATTGCTTTTGAGATTCTCAAAATATCAAAGTCACTAGAAACACAAACCCATGCCTTTTTGTCGAACTTGAAATCTTCCATTGCCTTGTCGTTGAACACATGCTGAGCAAGAGTTGTTTTACCGATGCCTCCCATACCAACAATGGGAATCACAAGAAAGTTGGCATAACCCGATTCAGCAGTTGACATGATTTTGATTATTCTGGCTTTATCTTCTTCTCTCCCATAAACAGCCGATTCGATTGGCAAACTTGTCGTGGGTGGTGGTCTTTGCCATTCAGCAGGAATTGATGGCCCTCCAGCAATCTTCTCCAATCCAAGATCATTTCTTTGTTTACAGAGATCCTGCATCCGGCGAGTGATATCTTTTATCTTGGACCGTATCCTAGTATTGAACTTAAAAGCACTTGGTCTCCAAGCACCGAGGCAAGAAGGGATGAGGCTCTGAGCCTTACTAGTGCTAGCCTGATCCTCCTCCTCCAACTTGCACCGTACTACTTCTGTAGCGAACTCCTCCAGAATGTCCTCCACATCATAAGCCAAGTCTTGGAGATCATCCAACCACATTTTCACGGCCCCATCAGTCAGTTGCTTTTCCTCTGCATCGTTAAGCACAGCTTCAATCATCTTCAACGTTTTTTCCCACTTTTTTAGCTTTGACGGTACTCCCTCCCGCTGAGCAAAATTCATCAACTCCCTGGACGCCAGTCTGTCAAACAGCAATTGAAGGAAGGCAGACAGAAATACCTCAGATAAAACCATGGCTCAATTTCTCTTCTGGAAATAGGGTTATCACAGGAATGAGATGGATGAATGCAGGTAAGATGGATTTTCTTTCTTTTCTTCGAGAGAGTTCTTTTCTTTTTCTTTTGCAATTAAAAAGAAAAAAATAATAATTATAAAGTTTATACTCTTCCCACTTTATTTTGCTTTTTCTGCTTTCGCTTTATACCTTGTCTCTTCTTTCTCTTTCTCTTTGCTATTTCTTCCCCTCTAATAATTGTTTTTTTTTTTGGTTGAAAAAGAAAGGTGCATAAAATCACTCACTATTCAGTTCTTATCTACCCCAGATAACTATCCAGTAGTATCCAGACCTTAAGAGAGAGAACTCCAACAAGCACAACTAATGAATAAAATGAACTAATTTGAATCATACTATAAATTCAATCTCTCTTCTATAAAGCATGGTTGTCTTTTGTAAAAAACATAAGTGGACGATTTGTCAGTTCTCTTATAAAAGCTTTGGTTGAGAAGGCACATAACTACAGAGTAAGAATCTCATTCCAACCATAAATTTCTCAACCTTTTTTGGAAAGTTAAAAAAAAAACAATTGCTAAAAGAATGGCTCCCAAGTAAACAATAATAGTTTTTCACACCATCTTATTAATTATAGGTTGGTATCATCTATGTGACATTGACATATGTAAACAATGAGATTATGGGATGAATGATGTGGGAATATCATACAAGGAAACACGTTATTTATGACAAAGAATTTGGTGTAAGTCTTGGAAACTCACCATTGCAACTGTAGTATTGATGGATTACATTCAGATTTCAGTCCTCCATATAATTAACAAACTCTGTAATTATAAAATTCTCAGATAAATTACTAATACTTTTCATTGGAGGTAGAGAACGAGTTACCAATAATTAAACTAAGGATTGAAATTTTTGGTATTGAATTGTAAATTTGACAGAGCTTCTGAGATTAAATATAACTCATTCTTCCTCCTCTGGATCATATATGAATCTTCTATCTATTTTAACACAAGGGATGTCAGCTATCTTAGGCCATTCTCGACCTTTACCCCTTTTGCATTGTTTTTTCAGAAGAGGACAGTTATAACGTATAATTCCAGAAGTGAAGATGGCAGACCATCCTCTGGAAAAGTTGTAAGCTTTGGGCAATCATGAATCCTTAGATATTCAAGAGAGGTTGGATCACGAAAGCCTTTGGAAGATAAGTTTTCCAATTTAGGAAATTCTGAAATGGTCAGATAAGTTAGAGTGGTGGGCACCATCATTCCCATCTCATTCTTTGGAAAAGACACTGCCTCTGGACATCCACCTATATCCAGACTTGCAAAGCAGGTGAACTTGTGCAATCCCCACTCCTTCAGTGGCTTGCAGATTTCTTGATTATAGACTGGTAGGGAAACCTTCTACTGGAAACGATTTGATACTCGGACAACCCCATATTGAGAAACATTGGAGACGGCTGAGATTGTGAATGTCGTCCGGCAGGTCTCTAAGTGTCTTACATTCAGACAAACAAACATATAAACTAGTGTTGGGAAGCCCTCCTTCTGGGAAGGAAACAAGGTTTAAGAAATGTTCATTGGCCGTCAGGTAAAGAATCAAGATGTTCATATCCCGCGATACTTATTGTCCCAAGAGACATGTTACTATGGAGCCTCTCTGCTATCGACTCTAGCTTTGAGCAAAACAGAATATCAACATGTGTGAGCGCGATGGGTAACTGGCCTCTTGGTGACGTGAGAGATGGACATTAACAAGTCCTCAAGAAGAGATGCAAAGGCACTAGAATTATCCTCTGTATCACCGAACAAAAGCTGCAATTTCTCACAATCTATTGTAGAAAAGGATGGAGGTAGCTATCTTTCACCATGAATGCCAAAGAATGACAACCTTTGTGGTCCTAGTGGAGGTTTTTCATAACGGTAACGGGAATGAAGGCGTTGACAGAAGCAAGGGTAGAGCCAACTTACCAACACTAACATTGATTGTAACGACTTTTATACAAGCTAATATAAGATGGAATGAACCAATCTTTGATACCTCATCTTCAAATAAAGTTTGCATGTTGTAATTTGCTATTGGCCGCTTCTCACATACCAATCAAAATGAAGTGAAATGGCAATTGAGAGGCAAACCTTGACAATATAAGGAAAATTTATTACTGAGAGAGAAAAAAATATACACTTAGATACATAAGGCCGTGATAAGCCATACCTCCCATATTGTTCTGATATATCATAAAATAACTGAAAAAGTTAAATTCATACATAAAACATAATCAAATAAAAAGGGTTACCCACCAAGAATCTGAAAAAGAAACACAGTTATAACTGAAGGAAGAGAATCTCACTAATTAAGTGAAGAAAAAACAGAGCCAAGATTTGTAAGCAAGCCAGCAGTTGAATTCCCCTCTCAAAAATAACAATTTAACTAGGAAAGGTATAACTTTGATTGGGAAGGCACATAACCACAAAGGAAGAATGTAAAACCCCCTTTTTAATCCTCATATATATGGGATTATTGTTAGTTTTTAAAAGTTTTATTGGGAGTTAAAATAAAAGGAATGAGAGATTTTGGGTTTGCATGCAGCTAAGGGGAGAAATCTGGGCATTTTCAATAGAAGCTGATGTGGCGGGGTCATGGTGAGAATAAGAGAATTTTGGGGTAGTTTCATAATTTTAAGTAATTGTTTTATATATAAATTGGGCTTCGCCCAAAATAAAGAAGAGAGAAAAACACAAAAAGAAGAAAGGAAGAAGAAGACAAAAAAAAAGGGAAAAAGAGGAGAGAGAGGAATGGGTTTGGCCGAGAGGTAGAGTGAGAGTGAAAGTAAAACAAAAATGGAGGAGAAATTTTAAACACATCACTCCCATTTGGTTTCGGGTGTGGAAGAAAAGAGTGCTTGAGGCTTCAATTTTAGTTCGGCTGAGCTGAATTTGTGAGTGGCAAAAACCAAAACCTTTTTCTCAATATTCTAGCTTGCATGTGTTAATTGAGAAGGACATTTAATTGGGTTTTGAAAATTGCTGAAATTAGGTGCTAATTTTGAGTTTTGTTTTGAAAATATGAAGAATTTTACATGCATGGAGATACATTGCATCCAAATGTTTGAATCACGGGCTGCATGTCATTTCTTTAAGATTATGGTTGAAATCCTTAGAATTTGATTTTAATTTGAATAATCAGTATGTTTAGTACATGGGTGAAATCTCAAGTGGTAAGTGGATTAAACCAAAATTCTTATTTAAAAACTTAAATTCATGTCTGTATGTTAGGTAAATGTGTCATATCATGCCGTCTGTTGCATCTTGTTGTTAAGTGCAAATTTCTTTGCTTGCATGTCCTCGGTTGAAGATGGAATGAGTGAAACTGTCCCAGATATGACTTTAATAAAGTTCATTTGTGTTGCATGTCACCAGATTTTCCCATAAACATAAGACTCATGTTTGCATGTTAATATTCTGTTGAGAATCTTTTCTCGTCATGCTTCTGCTAGGTTGTTACCAGTGTTGGTGTAAGTAAATAAATGGCAGTTGTGTTGCTGGATAATATACTTGGGTGTTTTTGGCTGGACAGTAGACATGATGGTGTTGGAAGTATGCTTTAAATGAAATAAATAGCTTAATATTAGTTGCATGTACAGATTTGATTTCAGCACCTTTTTACTGATGACAAATCTAGAAAAAATAAATAAATGGGTGTGTTTATGATTTTTATTTGTCTTATTTATATACATATAACTCGGTTGAATTGGTCAGATCAGTTAGAGAGGTGGGCAACATCATTCCCATCTCATCCTCTGGAAAAGACACTACATGTGGACATCCACCTATCTCCAGGATTGTAAGGCAGGTGAACTTGTGCAATCCCCACTCCTTCAGCGACTTATAGATTGTGTGATTACTGGTAATTGTAAGAGATCTTAGGCTGGCAGGGAAACCTTCTACTAGAAACGGTTTGATACTTGGACATTGGACAACTCCTTATTAATAATTCTTGGAGACAGTTGAGATTTTGAATACTTTAGGGCAGGTCTCTAAGTGTCTTACAAGGTTTGAAAACTATACATATATCTGATAAAGATGGTTAAGATGTTCACATCCCAAGATAAATATTGTCCCAAGAGACGTTACTATCGAACCACTCTACTATCAACTCTCGCTTTGAGCAATCCCAAATATCAAGATGTGTAAGCGCCATGAGTAACTGGCGTCTTGGTGATATGCACATCAGAGATGGACATTCTTTGATACACAAGTTCTCAAGAACAAATGCAGAGGCACTACATTTATCCTCTGTATCACCAAACAAAAACTGCAATTTCTCACAATCTTTTATTGAAAGCCGTTTTAGAGATGGAGTTAGTTGACCTTTGACAATGAATGCAAGTGAATGACAACCTTCAATATGTAGCCTTTCAAGACGAGAATTTTCATGCTTCATTCCCCCAGGTAAGGATGTTAAGGGAGGGCAATGTATAATCTCAAGTTCAGTTAGATTCAGCAAAAAACCGTCCTGTGGAAAAGGAACAAGAGTTGGGCTATCTTGAATGCGTAGTGTTTTGAGGCAGCTGCAGCTATGCAACCCTTGTGGAGGCTTCTTAAGAGAAGTCTCAATCTGCCACAAATGCATGAGTTTCTCACAATTACCAACTCTGAAACTTGTTCTAATGTCCTAAGTTGTTTGCACTGGAAGGCTGAAGCACAAAACCACCAAAACTATTTATTTTATATGTTATTTCAGATAAAATTATTATTATATATGTATGATATATGATAAAATTATTATTATTATTTATTAGTTTATTATTTTTTGCTAAATTAGTTTTTCCATTTTTTATTTTCATATTTATGAAAGGATTAATCTCACAATTACATTGATTAAATATAATTTATTTTATATGTTATTTCAGATAAAATTATTATTATATATGCATGATATATGATAAAATTATTATTATTTATTAGTTTATTGTTTTTTGCTAAATTAATTTTTCCATTTTTTAATTTCATATTTATTAAAGGATTAATCTCACAATTACATTGATTAAATATAATTTATTTTATATGTTATTTCAGATAGAATTATTATTAT